AAGAAAGGCCCTGCAACTCATCATGAGACCATGGGGTGAGCCCAGGAACACAGCCATGCACTTCACCATTTTCAGGTTGCAAGTATATATATGGCCATTACTTGAAGCATCTATTTGGCCAGTGCCGCAGAAAATGCCATGTTCTCAAGTGAATCATTTGTTTTATTAAAATTTCTCTTTTATTTTTGAAAGTATTAAATATGTGTTTTACGGTCCAGAAGAGAAATAAGAATCCTTAGCAGGGAGAAAAAGATTTTCAGGCTCCTTGTCCATCTGTGCAGAGACTGAATTTGAAAGGTTAACACCAGTATAGAAAACCCTGTGACATCTAATAACATGTCAAAGTGCTCGGTAAACAATTACTTAGTAAAAATACTGCAGATATAGTGGAAGGGAATAGAAAATGTCAGTTCACAGGAATAATTCTGAAACTTGAAACTAAAATGCAGAGGTTGCTGCAGTTGCTCCTTAACGGTGTTTACACTTACATGAGAGCAGAGTAGACTAAAATGGCCTCCTATTTTTTCCCTGCATTTATACAAACTACTGCATTTATACAAACTACTGTGTTTTCCACAAAAAGGTCCTTGAATATTTGAGTAAGCTTTTACTTTAGTGTCTGCCAGTGTGAGTTTGCAAAAGGCACTCCTTTTATCTTCTGGGGAGATTACAGTACAAGCAGCAAGAGCAAGAGCTTTGCCATGCTATCCTGCATTAGGCTCAGCAGACACTTAAGCATGAGTAGGCATGAATACTTTAGATTACAGACCTTCGGCTGAAGCTGGAATTAAAATTTCTGTCTTGTAGGGCTTTTTCAGTAAAGGCAATAGATCAACTTGACATCTGTGGGCTGAGACTATGATTTTCATTTCACAATAGCTGACAGAATAGATTTTGCCAAGCAGAAATGTCTTTAAACATGAAGAAAGCCTAGTTTCCAAAATCATCTAAAGCCCTTTGTGAAAAGTGACTGCAACACCTGGGGAACGTAGTTATATTGAAAAACCAACACAGTCTGAAATTCTTTCTGTTATTTTGTATATTTAACTCCTGGTTAAGATACTTTCTAATCATATAATTTACAACAACATTGGATTTAAACTTTAAAAATAATGAAATATAAATGTGAAGAAAAGTTTACGCACTTGTTTTACCTGTATGAGTCCTGGTATGAGTCTTCAGATGATCAGATCTGGAGAACTTTCTCTGACAGGTTTTACATTGGAAGGGCTTCACACCTGAAGAGACCAAAGAAAAAAATAAAATCTATCTTATATCCCAACATCTTTTGGAAGAGTGAAAGAAATCAGCTATTTCTGAATTTTGAAAAGCCTGGGGCGTTTGTACTAGCTACTGTAACTGCGCCTCCTAACTTCATGCCTACAAATGATAGAAAGTCATTAATTAGGCTACCATCCCTTTGTAACCTCTTCTTCTGATGTTTGGGTCAGAAGCATCCAAACAGTACCATTATGAACAAACACCCACTGTTGAACTAAGCAGGATCTGCAAATGTTGTGAATTCTGATCCTGTGGCTTGGCACCACCACTATCATGTACGAGCAACTATGACATAAAAATAGAAGTATGGAGGTATATATTTACATGCTCCAAATAGGCTTACACTTCTACTACTACTTTACACACTACAGAGAAGTCTTGGGGACTGCTTATCACAGATACGTTCTAGCAGGCAGTTGCTAAAAACTATCATAACAAGAGAGTATTTCTATACCAGCTTTAAAAAACACTTCCTACCTGTCCCAGTAATACCATTTAAATGAGATAGAACATCTTGAGCAAGAAAAGTGGTAGGCAGAAATCCACCACACAACAGTGAGTAAACCAGCTGTCAGGCCACTCCCTGAAATATAGGAGACCCAAATGCAATTTCTTGCTGCAACTCAGAGGAGCACTCTGAAGCCCTTTCTCATGTTCCATAGACTGTTCCCTCATGGTTCCACTCTTGGCTAGGAGGCTGAACTCATCACCATCTCATATTCTGTGACTTAGAGAAAGGCTGCTGCCTTCCTTGTCAATCTAATCTAGACTTCCAAGAGCTCCTGAAATGCTGAAATAGGCTGTCCTGACATCTCCAGAAAAATGGTGTCTGTGCAAAAAAACAACGTACTGAATTTGGACTGAACTCACAAGCAATTTCAGCTGTCTCAGAACATTTCACCCTGTCAATGATCCACTGAGAAAGACAGGTCCTGGACACAAGCCTAGATAGGACCCAGACCCTCATGACTGCTCCGCCCTCTCTGCTGTACATAAACTGCTATACACTTTCCAGGCTATTTTTGCAATCCAACCAGCCAGATCTTTGACATTTCTCTCCTTGCTGCCCCTGGAATCCTTCTTTAGTTGGCAGAGTTCAGAAAAGGTTCAAATCTACGATGAAGTGGTTTGCTGAATTAAGATCTTAAGCATTATAGACAGTACGGCTTTTCTTTTTCCACTTCTGTCCATGCAGACACGCACAGTAATTCTGCCAGCCTTTCAGGTGAGGCACATGCAGCATTCACCTGTTAGCATTGCCACACAAGCATCAGAATAACAACAGTAGTGTTTATCAGGCAAGTTCTTATAGAACTGTTTGTTTTTTTTAAATAACAGTTTCCCTACATTGGGGGTACAGTATAAAGCAAACAGTTAAATTAAGAAAGCTGTTTCAGCAGCAGGATGAAAGTGTTGCAATGCTAATAAAAACTCCAGCTACAGTCCTCTCCTAAATCTAAGTTCAAGGGTTTGGCATTATGGGCATTGTGTATGAGCAGACACATCATAAAAAGAGAGGTTCAGAAGTAGACCTTTTAGATCACAATTCACATCTAAAGATGAACTCCAGTGAGTAGAGATGTGGTGTCAACAAACCTGTGTGTCGTCTTTGGTGGCGTTTGAGTTGGTCTGAACGAGAAAATCTTCGTTCACAGTCCTTAAAATCACACTGATAAGGCTTTTCACCTGTAAAAGACAAACAGTTTATCAGAACATGTGGCTAGATGAGGGAACACATCAGCTAGAATGAGATGTAGACTTCTCTCTTGCCTAAAGCAGCTTAGTGGTACCACAGGACTCATGTACTATAAACCCATACAGCTGTGTTGGGATCAGTGGGGAAAGGCTGGCATCATTCTACTGCATCTGCACTGATAATGAATCTGCTCATCCTAAAAAAAGACCAAACCATTAGGTGAAAGCTACAAAAAATTTCCAGCTGCATGGTTTTTGGTGTTGTTTTCTACATGAAAAGAACAGAAATCTCTTGGTTTATATTTCTCTGAAAACCATATTAAGGCCTTTCCACCTGTTTCAGTAATACATATTCTGTACAAAGGAACAACTTTATTTTAAAGCAAAACCTAAATAAATGGCATCCATGTAGGTGGCAATTTTAACCACTCTAAATTAAAACAAATTAAAAGAAACAGTGCAAAATTCAACTACAGAAAAAGACATGTTCTTCCCCAAAACACAAATGATGTTTCTCTTATAAAGCACCATTAAATAGCATTTCTCATGTAGCTGCACACCTCCTGCAGGCAAGCCCGTGAATTATTGCAAAGCCCCCTGTAAACATAAATTCCTCCACCTCCCATGCAGCTCAGCAGAGACCATTGAGATGGCTTTTCTTTGGGACAATAAGTGAGATTCTGGCTTTTCAAACAAATGATCCCCCTACAAGATAGTGTCTCAAATGAATGTGGCTTTCAACCAAGGAAAAGGACCAACACTATACACATGCAATATACACATGCAAAAACAAATGCAGTGATCAAGGAGCTTGAAGAAAGAGAGAAACACTGCCTGCATGTAGTGTACCACACAGTTGGTGAAATTCAGCCAGCACACAAAACAATAGTCCTCATGCTGCTACAGAAGTAGCTGTATGATCTTTCAGATCTGATTCACACACTGGAATCCTGCAAAAGCCTCAGATATAATCACCTTTGTCCCTACATAAGGTCTGGGGACAGAGCCACAGCCCTGCACAGAGGCCTCAGGACAAGAAGTAATGAAACATCTCTTGCTTCAAAGCTGGGAGAATCCTGGGTTTTATCTGGAAGGTACACACAAGACCAGCTGGGACCTGCTTTTGTCTACTGTGGAAAGCTGAGATCTAAAACAAAGGTCCAGGAGGAAGGACCTAAGGAAAAACACCAGCTGAGGTGCTTAGTGGGGTTAATTTCTCCAGGTATGTTTTTAAAAACCTATCAGTTTCATAAATCTCCACAGAAGTGTCTGCATTTCTGATTTTATTATGATGACATGTGTTCTGGTTGCACTGGTATTCTGAGATACCAGCGCAAACTAGTTTAGTTTAAAGCAGAAGCCTTCTGACCTAAGCAACAGAGCATAAGTAGCATGTTAAGGACAGCATTTCAAATACTGTGTAGCTAAAATCAAAATCTTACAAAAGCAAATTAATCTGCAAGAACAAGCTGACTTCCTGTGCCAGTCGCCCAAAGGAGTTTACTGATTCTCAGACCTAGGTGTGGACAATTTCCATGTCTGCTGTGCTTAATTTATTAGAGTAAGGGATTAAAGTTGCCACAGGTGTTTGAAATAGCTCCGTACACTTTGACCGCGTGGACTTCCCAGGGGGTGCCTGCTTTTCAGAAATCACTTACTTCCAAGGAATTCAGCCCTTTGGCAGATTTAAGAGGAGGAATGTCAGCAGAGCAGAATGCAGTGACAGGATGATTGTCTGCTAATTGCAATATAAACTCAGAAGATGGTTAAGGAGGTATTTGGATAAAACAGTATCACGGGTCTAATGGCATGCACACAAAAGCATTTACTTAAATACTTTGAAATACAACCTTGATTAAATTAAGGACAAATTTGCCCAATGCATATATTAAAGGAATCGGTCCAAGATGCTTACACAAATATACGGTGACACTGCATAGAAAACAAAAAGCAAAGAAACAAAAAAGGCACAATATTTGGACAGAAATCCTAATTTTCTTTTCCTTCTACTCCTTCCACATCAGCTAGTGCCAAGCAAAATGCCTGCCAAAGCCAACTGTCACATACCTGTTACTGCCCAGAACTTGCATCAGAACAGGACAACATGAATGACCCAGATTGAAAGTCTGTGAGTACCTCATTAAATCACTATACCAAGAGGGAGTGGAGCACTGTCTAGGTCCCCAGCCCTATTAAATCCTCTCCAGTAAAAGACTAAAGTCTCTTAATGTATGGAAACTATTCCATAATGCTGTCACCTTCCTACAGGACCACATACAATTTCAAAACAAAACAGGACGTGAAGATGGAGCTCCCCCAGTCCTTCCACCTGCAACTCGCAGGCTTCCAGGATTACTTATATTTCATTATTGAGAGAGGGCACACAAAAGGCTAAACTCAGTGCATAATGAAGTAGTTGGGAGAGGACAAAGGGAATAGCAGTTCTTTAATATTTAGGGAAATATTTGGAAAAACTAAAGGTCAACAATGGCAAACAAGTATGAATCAGCCTTTGCAGGTATCATAATAAATGCTTCTAATAAAATAAACCTATTTGTTCAAAAATAGTTAAATCAGAGGAACCTGCACATTTTCTCTGGAGCAAACTCATTTGCCCAGACACATGGGAAAAGAGAAATTCCTACTGCTGTAGCAGCTGCACAAAATATTCACAATCATTGCATTTAATTACAGAGTGCTACAAGAGCAAAAGCCCGCTGCTAACAAGAAAGCATGAGGAGACCGGGCTGATTTTGAAACCAGAGGCTGCAAGCCTGAATGAGAATCTGAAGATCTATACACACTGCACCAATTTAAGCCCCTTTTCTTGTATACACACCTAAGCACATGAGTACAACCCTGTAATCACAACTTTACCTCAATAATATAATATATTTCTATTCAAAATAATTTGTTTCAGCAAACACAGATAAAATGTGTGTCTCTATTTAGTAGGGAGCCTTTATAGGTAACGTTTTCTGTCATTGTCACACCATAGGGCAGATGTGAGATGTCATTATTGTTTTGAAATTAATCTTGTTTACCATATCTGTACACAGAGGACATAGCTCTGTCTTTCAAAGGGGGTGTAATGATGAACTGCACTAATGACTGTAAAGCACTTAGCAGCACAGTGGCACGTGCCATAATAAAATTATTTTTTTCAAAGCAAAGAAATCATTGTTAGATGATTAGTATAAAAGTCATGATTAGACTGCATTACTTACACCCCCCAGAGCCCCAGAAAATCACCACCAAGACCTGAGTCCCTGACACACAAAAGACAACCTTCATCAGTTACAGATTCTCGCACCTCACTGTTAGAAGTTCACACCCACAGTTGTGCATATTTAGGCTGAGGAATATCCATGGCAAGCAGGCAGAGGGTATTTTCTCTGCAAAAATGCTGTTTTCCATCAAGATAAATCCAGTTTTTCCAGTGTGTGGCACTGAACCCAAAGGATCTCTGGCAAGAATATTGTTTCCACATAAATGAAATTTATGGAGGTCTAGACATCAATTTGTTTCTGCAAAGAAGTTTCTGAAGTCTGCCACAGGCTGACAACTCAAATTATTTGCTGTACTGTTGAAAAATTAGATGTATTTTTGCATTTCCTTTCAGAGGCCTATCTACTGCAGCGAAATACACCAAGATAAGAAAAAAAGCTTTTTTGGCTGAACATGTTTCAATAAAGGCATTGTTAACAATGGATAAGCAGTCGCGGAGGGTACAAAATGTCAACATATTTTCAACGAATGCAATGTTGAAACATTGGTAAAACTGATTACAGAATCCAACTTTGTGTTTCAGGGCCTTGCTTGATTTTGCAAAACTGCAACTAGTGAAGAATAGACAATCGAGCTGGCCCTCTGCAAGTATCTGTTACAGTAAGGAAAAAGATAATCAAGAGCCAACATTGCCCTGCAAAGATACTATCTGCTGTATTGGATGTATGTAACAGCTTGTTTTCAGATCCTGTGGTCATAATTTTAAAAACTGCCCTACCACTACGCTAAGAAAGGTGCAAGAGCTTCAAGCCCACGAGTGCATCCTTAACCACAGTACGGGAGGGCTGTAGAGAGGTATACCAAACACAAACAAATTATCCTCCACTTGAGCTGACACCTGACAGCTCTCCTGACTTCAGACTGGCTTGTCAGGATTCCTCCCCATCAAAACACTGAAGCATAAGAAAAAGAAACATCCTTTTTTTTATTAAGAGTATCAGGTGTTCTGACTGCCAACTACTACCCTGTTATCAACAAGACAAGCACTCCTTAAAATTAGGACTAACAGACCACAGGAGGAGACAAGAAATAGAAATAATCATATTCTAAAATCTCTACAGGAGTTGGAAATTGGTAAGTAAAATTTCCAGACCATAATCATATGAAATGTCTAGCAACCATTCAACAGCCTGAGGACAACACCCTGCTAGGATGATGAAGAGGAAATCTTCTTTCTATTCCTAAATCTGAATGCATCAGCTAGGTGAGTTTCCAAGCAGCTCTCATACCAGCAGTGCACTATCACATGCTTTACTCTCTTTAGCTGCAACCAACTTCAAAAGCTTACATGGCCTTATTAATAGCAATGCTTGTATCAGCAAATACAAGGCTTGGAAATCAAGATGCCCTATTTGGTATGGAAAGTAGCTTGCAAAGGTTGTCAACACACCAAAATACAGTGGCAGAAAAATCTGGGCCCACCTGTACAGAAGAGATGTTTGAAGAAAAGAAAAGTTCTTCCCCTAGCTTGTTCCACTTTAGCATAAGCCAAAGGAGGGGCATGTATGACCTCAAAGACAATGGGAGGAATCTCTCCAGGGGTGTCAGATGGCTGTAGTCCTAATCCCCTACTCCCTGTGTGTTTTGGGCCTTTCGTGACTCTGCGTGCCTAGATCATAATGTGGTGTAATTCTGCAAATCTTCAGTTAAGAAAAAAAAAATATCTAAGCTGAAGTCCTTGTGATACATCCAGGAATAACACTGCAAAAGCCAAGCAACTAAAGGGAATAAAATACAAGACCAGAACAAATAAATTATGACTCTTAAAATACAATTTAGGAATGAAAGAAATTGTGATTATGAGAAAAAAAAAACAAAACTGTTTAGCCATACTCAAGAAAAATACTGCAGTTAGTGGACCCCAAAAGATGAACACATTTTCTTGTTTCCAGTTTATTTACAGATAACAGAATAGCATTTCTGTAGATCTTCATCTCCAAAGATTAGATTCCAGTTACAATTTAAATTATCTTGAATTGCTCTTATCTGAGCAATGCTGAAGATGTCTATCTGAATATTTTGTGACTGGCCCATTCACAGATTGAAAATCCTTTGTGATGCTCATTTCTCACCTGTAGAATTTTACACAATTAACTAATGTCACTACATGGTCTCCAAAAAGAAAAGTTATTATGAAACATCAGACAAGCTGCCAGGTCACACAGAATTAGTTGCTCTGCCCTCATCCATTTCACCCTTCTGACTTCCTATCAGGTTAATTGCCAAGTGAACATCCATATTTACAGATTTTATCCACAGATTTCTAGATTAGCACAGAAAGAACTGTCTAAATGAAAATATGATAGGCAGTCCAAAAAATGTACAAGGAGCATATATAAAGTTTTATCATAATTCTACATTTCCAACAGAATCAATCTCCCAATAGGCAAAATAACTTTGTTTACTCTTCGGCAAGGTGCATCAGAGCATTTGATTTTCACATTTTGAGATGGAACATATATCGCCTGAGCTCAAAGAGAATTCAGATCTTAGCCTACAAATGACTGGCTTCAGGCTCTATTCTTCATGGAAAAATGCCGTTTGAGGAAACTCATTTGCCAATCCCTGCCTCTTACCCCCAGCCAGAAAAGACTTCCTCAGGAGGACAAGAGGCTGCTAATGTCTAGGTTCCTCTTGCAGAGGAAACTTCTTAATAGTTAACAACAGTTAAGATATGGAGCAAGCCTTGATGCTGCCAAATGGAGGGAACAGAGACAGGGACGATTCACAGCTCTGAATGGTGCCCTGTAACAGTAAGAGAGGGAGGGAGGTGATCTTCCTGCTGTCAGCACTGCTCTGCATTTTTACTCACTCGTTTCAGTCTTCTGCATCAAAAAGAGGGATTGCCCAGCTGACAGACTCTGTCTGCCCCTGACCTGGCAGATCATTTCTTGCACCTTATGCTATTTTAAAACCACCCTACCCACTCTGCTGTCCAGTGCTGTGACGTGATTTATACCATCCAATGCTGACACTCACCAGTGTGCTTTCTGCTGTGCATCTGTAAATGGGACAACTTAAAGTATCTCTTGTTGCAGCCAGGGTACGCACACATGAAGGGACGTTTTTCATTTGTCTCACTTGCTGATCGGACAATAGTCGGAGCTACTCCTGGCACCCGTCGGACATCCTACAATGACAGAGACTTGCTAATGTAACATGCATGTTCTCAAGCTTTTACTAACATATTCAAAGACAAACAATCAGAGGCACTTCTCCAGGACAGAGATATTTAAATACACTGCAAACTGTAAAACTCTACTTTAACAAAGTACAACCTTACTACACCTTTAATCTGTTAAACTCTGTTTATTAAATTCTCACCAAATATTGATGTGCAAGTTTAAATAGGCCACATTCTGACTTCACATATAATCACACAATTAATTCTGCAAGAACACTCGTTGGCGTATAAAGCAGTTTTAGGCTTACATTAGTGTAAGAGGTATGAGCATGAGCCAGGGTAGCATTATCCTCTTTATTTTAAATACTCACATGAAGTTTAAGGACAAGGAAATTAATGTATTATCTTAATTCAAACTGGTAAAAACAAAACAAGAAAGCCCATCTAGGTGGAGCTGGTGAACAGCTCAGCCTTAATGCATTTTGACCACTGTCACAATGTTCCATCAAAGATGATCTTCTCCTTCTGGAACAATTAACTTCCTTAAAGAATGTCAACAGCTTACTTTTACTCACTCCACAAAGCTGCCTCATGAGCCTATTTCTGAGAGCTTGCCACTGAATAATGACTTATTAAACTGTACAGAAAAGGCAAAGAAGATGCTATCTACAAACACTGGTGTATGTTGACAACAGAGAGCAATGCAGAAGAGACAGATACTTCGTAATGACTTTGCCATCAGTTTTAAGAACGTATAGCTTCTACAGTGGTATTTATTGATTATGATTATATGACTTTCAGAAAAGGAGGAAATTAACTTCCTTGAATGGTAAGTTCCTCCCAAATATTCACTGATTACTTAGTCATTAGGAAACAACCACTTAGTATATTTTGTTTTAAGGAAATATATTTGCATTAGTAAAGCCTCAGAAATCAGTAAAAGATAAATGTCCTCTAACACTTTTTTCTATATAGTGTCAGACGTAGTCCATTGTAACCATGGAAGCTTCACACAACCACAGTGACTAGAGCTAGGAGGTAGAAACTGGGTCACATGTTTTGGAACATCCTGAGAGTCTGGTAAGGAATATTGCCCTACAGGCATACTTTAGAAGAAGAAATAAACAATTTTAAATGACTCTCAGAAAGAAATCTTACACTGTACTTCAATGGCTTCAGTGGAGTCAGGACACTATGTAAAGCATTTCTTGATAACACAGGGAAACCGCAAGCCAAGGATGGATTTATAAATACAAGTGAAATAGTACACAAACATTATAAACAAGCAGCAGTTTTACTTCCCGAGGAAGAATGTCCTACCATACTCACTTGTATGCCTCTAAAAACTCCATGGGTATGTATTCTGTATTGGGCCCCACAGCTGTACAACATGGGAGCACTGTGGTTCTCATTTTCATATCCTGCCGTATGGCTGTAAATAAAGAGGGGAATAATGGGAAAATGAGATATTTTTCAGTACTCAGCTCCATGTGAGAGGTTTCATTTCTTAAGTCAGTAATAACGCATGCAGAGTTTGCTTTCATAGCCTGGATATCCAAGTTCAAATGCAATTCACCAAAGGAAGCCTGTTCTACCTTCAGATCGCTCTGCTTCCACTGGCGCTATGCACTGACTCCATCCCTACACCTATTAGTATCCACTATGACAGCACAGTAAAAGAAAAAATTTAAAAATTGTCATGATTTGAACTCTGATGTATTCCCACGAAGATTTTAGGTAAGAGGGAAAAATCCACACAGCAGCATGACTGTGTAATGTGCACATGTACACATTATTTTTCAGTTAAATGTGGGGCTGCCTATTGCTAATATCTTTTGGAATGAGCAAAATGCCTCAAGTTTCACATTAAGTGCAGTGGATTTTTGTCAGCACCTCATGACTGAGATATTACCACATACTACCAAGAAAGTGATGACATTTATAAGAATAGCAGTCATGTACTCATAAACAGAGATTACAAATCAGTGTCCAAACTATTTATCCCACATATCAACTTGCAGGATACGTTACAAATTACCCCCTTATAAAAATACAATTAAAAAAACAAACCAGCCTCTGCCTACCAGGTATTTATATATCCTTCTAGGGGTAAATTTTCAAGATTGCTCATGCAGTATAATCACAATAGTTTAAAATGTCTGTAGCCCTTGTTGTGTTCTGGGGCTGTCACAACCATGTGTTCTATCTAGTTACATTCTTCAAAAACCTGTCTTCTGCCCAGAATGTTAGCATCATTGCTGTGCTTCCTGTGTGCAACCTTCTTAATGTCAAAATTACGCAAATAAATTTGAGAGTTTAATTTTAAATGTGCATGTTACATTAGTGCGGACATTGACACGTGCATTAATATACATTGGCAGCGGTAAGTGTTCATGTTTTATACTGCACTAGAAATCAGAAACGCCAGAACAAAGCCCAGGGGCACACAGCTAGGGACAGAGATGGATACATAGGATGTTATCCCAGTCTTTGCCAAATGCTTGCAATAGCAATTTAAAAGGGTCCCTGAGGCCCAGGCTCTCATTTCACTGGTCCTTCCTTTCTCTTCACTCAAAGTTCATGTGCAGAGTAGAATTACAAGGAAGTCTTAAACCTCTTACATGATTTGCA